ACACTCACTCACTCACTCACACACACACACACACACACACTCACACACTCACTCACTCACTCACTCACTCACTCACACACTCTCTCTCTCACACACAAACACTCACACACTCACAGACTCACACACATACACTTATCCAGCATCTAAATGAGGACACTGTTGTTTTATATAAAGCTACTTACTGTTACAGACTAACTCAATCACCAACCAGAATAAAAATGTTATATTTATAATAATAATAATAATAATAATAAGTTTTATTATGAATTAATTATTAAAATATGCATTTATTTATACAATGTAAATTATATTATAATTTATTTATAATTTTTACAAAAATATTCATTATTTATTTATGAATACTTCTTCCAGTTAAGAACCTAAACAAAGGTTTTGTCACTGATGTCTTTCAAACAAACAGAAACCCTTCCTACGAACAGCATACAGTACTGTAGTATTACTCTTGTTATTTCTGCATTATATAGTGTATATAATATGTGCACAGTAAGCAAATAGTCTGCATGCATGGAACATGTGGATGAACTCCTACATTTTTCAAAATATGCATTATAAAACATGGCTGCTGTCACCCACAATGCAATGCGATTGATTAAACTTTCATTTCCAGTGAAGCAGGAATGGGGAATAACACCAGCCATGATTTGCTAAGATTACACTGAAACAAATTGTTGTAGGATTTACTTTCAAACAGTAACTGCTAGTACATTTAATAAAAACAATTACAAAGAAACACACTGAATTAAACATGACATTTTGAATTAGAAAATCCAAACTAGTATTTTTTTGTATCTATGTTTTATTTAAATTCATTTTTACAGTCTAGATTAAAAAATGCACAATAACCGTGTTTATTTCTAACATAATACTCAAAAGGCACTTTTGGAATTAAACATGCAATATATTGAGTAATAATAAATAATTGCTTAAAGCTCAGTATTTCAAAAATAGTATGCCGCATTCAGTGCACACAGCTCAGTTTGCACCACATAGTATTCTAATATTAATACTGTGTTTATGTCAGCAGAAATAATAAACCGGGATAAGCTAATTGCTTATTGTCATACGCAAACTGCAATGACATGATTTACACGCTCACTGACCGCTGATTATCAAACTGCAGAACTAAAGCATCGTTACATTCAATAAACTCACTTAGGTGAGCAGCGTCTGCATCCAGCCAATCACACGCCAGCTCTGGGTCCTCATTTGCATACAGGCCAAAGGGAGCCAATGGTGCTCAGGGTGGGCGGGGCTTGTAAAGTGTCAGCTGGAGTGAAACTGTGTGTAAGTTAGTCCACTGCCATTATTACGCTACAATACAATACAACCCAATGGAGAAACGGCCTACTAATGCCAATCACACCCACGGTGATTATTTTCATATGAATACACTCCATCATATTTATTAACCTCATGACAACAGCACAGCGTTCATTAAAATTAATAAACGAATCACACATCTACTGGAGAGCTGAAGAAATGAACAGAAGAGTGAGTTTTACGTGCTCATCTTTGTGAAGTTGTGAAGTTAACCATAAATGCACTACACAAGATTCATTAACAGTAGTCCACATTTTCATCTGAAGTCATGTGATAGATTTATGTGTAAAACAGATCGAATTTAGTCTCTCAAATCTCATTCAGGTTTGTTGAAACATGACTCTTCAGATGCGTAGATCATTGGCTCTTGTGTTTGCCAGAACCAGTATACTGAATGGAGAATGTGATCTGAGAGTCACTGCAGTCATATGAATACTGTACTGTGTATGATAGACTGCTGTTATGATGCTTCTACATGCTGCTGTTATGGCGTTTTTGTCCGGTTTGAAGCTTGACAGACATGATTATTGTATGGAAAAGATCTGCATGAAGCTGCATGTGTGTGTGTGTGTGTGTGTGTGTGTGAGTGAGTGTGAGT